GATGCTCATGGTCACTAGCCAAAAGACTTGAAAATCAAAACTACAATAAGATACCATCTCACCTCTGCAAAAATGTCAATGTTCAAAACAAAAATGCTGGCAAGGGGGTGGAACTCTTATTTATAAAATGGTACAACCACTATAGAAAATGATATGGTACTTCCTTAAAAAGCAAGACACAGAAATACCTTATGGCCCAGCAATTCCACTCCTAGGTATATAACTAAGAGATATAATAGCAGTGACATGCACATCTATGATCATTGTAGCATTATTCGTGATAGCAATAAGATGGAAACAACCTAAGTGTCCATTAATGGATGCATGGATAAATGAATCATAGTACATACATCCAATGGAATACAATGTAACAATAAAGAATAATGATGAATCCATGAGACATCTTAAAACATGGATGAATCTGGAGGACATTATGTTGAGTCAAATAAGTCAATCATAAAAGGACAAATACACCCATTCCTCACTTATTGACATGGTTGGGTTCCAAAGACAAGGTTGTTAGGGGAAAATAGGTGTTATGCAATAATGCAGGAGGACCACATCATATCACAAAATGAAGGATGACTACATCATCACATAACTACCAAACTGCATCATTATGTAACTGCCAAGCCACTGAGAATCATGGCCTGGCTGAATTGACACATAACCTTAACCATCACAGTCAGTGTTCTCTCACCTGGCACCTTGGCTTCATTATTGCCAGACATGTTGTTAATGTGCAAAATAGTCAGATAGGAGATTTTTGCACTATTACCATAAATGTGAAATTTTGGATAATGAGAACATTCAGTAAGTAAAGAGTAGGTGTGTGTATGGCCCCACTATTATACAAAGTTAAGAAAAGGTATCACACAGAAAGTAACCTCTGATGGTTACCAGGGACAGTAGGATGGGAGAATCACTTTCTAGATAGTGACTTCAAAAAAAAAAAAAAGCCCAAACTCACTGCCATCGAGATGGTTCTGACTCATAGCAACCCCTCCTTGGGCTTCCAAGGAGGTATGTCTATGGAAGTAGATTGCCCAACCTTCCTTAAGAGGAATGGCTGGTGGGTTTGAACCTCCAGCCTTCTGGTTAGCAGTCAGATGCCTTAGGCACTAAACCACCAGAGCTCTTTCTAGACACTTATTTTTGGCATTACTAAATATGGGTGAATTCTACATACCTTGGTCATGGTAAATGAAGACATTAAGCTCTGGTAGCATAGTGTCTATGGCATTTGACTGCTCTGCTAACCAAGAGGCTGGTGGTTCAAACCCACCAGCCATTCCTCAGAAGGAAGGTTTGGCAATCTACTTCCACAGTGATACCACCTTGGAAACCCAAGCAGGGGTCACTATGAGTCAGATCCGACTCCACGACAGTGAGTTTGGTTTGGTTTGGTAAGAAGTACCAAGCAAAAGTGACTCGACTTTGGTAAATGCTATCTAAACTAAACCAGACTTACCACCACTGAATCAATTCTGACTCATAGTGACCACTGTTGGGTTTCCAAGGCTGTAAATCTTTATGGAAACAGACTGCCCCATCTTTCTTCTGGTGGTTCAAAACACCGACCTTTTGGTTAACAGCCAAATGCCTTAAAGCCTACACCACCAAAACTCCTTGGTAAATGCTATAACACATAGAATTTTGCAACAACAGTAGTAAAACCTAAAATATGTGTGTGGTTACATATTTAGATATGTACACATATATGTGTCTAATAGGAAGCATATGTGAGTGTATGCACATGCATGTATAGATATAGTCATAAGGAAAAAAAAAACCAAAAAACACAAAACAACCAACCACCAACCAACTAACCAAATCCACTGTCATAGAGTTGATTCTGACTCAAAGAAACCCCCATTTCCCAAGTTTCCAAGGCTATTAATCTTTATAGAAGTAGATTGCCTCATCTTCCTCCCATGGAGCAGCTGGTAGATTTGAACCATCAACCTTCTGGGTAGCAGCCAAATGCCTTACCCACTACGCCACCAAAGCTTCTTAGGTGTATCTATAGGCATATATATACATGCACACACACACACACACACATTTGTGTGTGTTGAACATATATCCATATATATTATAAAGCACATGGAGGCACAAATATGGGGTTTTTTTTGTTTGTTTTTTTTTACACAAAGCCAAATAGCTTGTAGGATTGGTTTACTGAGTTAAAAGGCTTAGGAACATAGTCTCATGGGATAACTTTGTCAATTGGCATAACAGTTCAAAAAGTTAATGCTCTACATCGTAGTTCAGTAAGTAGCATCTGGGGTTTTGAAAACTTGTGAGCAGCCATCTAGGATACAGCTATTGGTCTATACTCATCTGGAGAAAAAAAAAATGAAGGAAACCAAAGACTAAAAGAGGAAAGTAGATTAATAGCCTGCAACAACCATGGTTTCTTCTAACCTGAGACCAGAAGAACTAGATGGTGCCCAGCTACCACTACCAACCAGTTCTGACCAGAGACAGAATAGGATGGGAGAAAAGCATAGAAAACTCAAATTCCTAAAAAAAAGTCCAGACCTAATGGTCTCATAGAGCCTGGAGGAATGCAGAGACTATCACCCCTTGAATTTGGCACTGAAGCTACTCTTAGAGGTCATCTGTGAGACAAATAATAGATTGGCCTATAAAATACACAATATTACCCATGAGTAAAGTGTTCCTTTTAAAGCATTCAGCTCCTAACAAAAAGGCTGGCAGTTCAAACCCATCATCTGCTCTGTGGGAGAAAGATGAGGCAGTCTGCTTGTATAAAGATTTATAGCCTTGGAAACCCTATGAGGCAGTTCTGCTCTGTCTGATAGTTGTTAGGAGTCAGAATTGAGTCAATGCAGTGGTTTAATGTGTTCCTTAGTCAACTATATAAGACCAAGTTGTCAACATTTATACAAAATAAAAATGAGAAGGCAAGGAAAGGCAGGGCTAGATCAATAGAATCAGAACAAACAAAATGGAAATAATAAGAATGCTGACACATTTTAAGAATTGTAACTAGTATCATGGAACAACCTACCTAGAAATTCTTAAATGGGAAACTAATTTGCTATGTAAACTTTCATTTAAAACACAATATAATATTAAGAAGAAGAACAACAAAACTCTATTCTAACCCTCCAGAGGAAACTACCTTGCAAGGTGTTAGGCCAGAACCAGAGATCAAATAAAGTAGAGTTAGACAGATAGCATGTAGCCAACTAAAAAAATGCATAATGGCTTGCTTGGGGGTGTGTGTCAGCAAAAGGAAAGGACTAGGAAGGCTAAGAAGGTGGAGACAAGGCTGGCTTGATAATTTGTCAGACCCTGTGAAAAATGAAAACGCAAGGCCTCTTGTTCAAAGTTAATAATACCAAGACAGTGACAGCAGACCATTGTTGCTGAGCATTAAACCAAGCAAGGCTCTACCAAGGGTGGGACCCTGTGCAACTGCACATTAGCACACCCATGAAACCCACTCTAGTTAGAGAAGAAGATCAGAAGTGTTCCCTCTCCCCTCAGCCAAAACAACAGCAAACAAGAGGCCACTGCCAAAATTAGAAGAGTTGAAGACGACATAGTGTCCTACCTAAACGGTGGTGCTAGGCGTGATGGGGGCATGAGGGCGGAGCTGGAAGGACTACGCCTCTAAAGTAGACTTCAGAGTGATAGAAAAGGAAAGAGACAGGTTTTGAGGATTCAGATACAGGGAATAAAGCAAAGGGAAAGAGTCCATATCAGCTCTTCTTCCTGCCCTTCTGTAGACAATACTCTTTCTTTCAAAATAATTCAGCTCTTTGTACCTGTTTGGTGCCTAGGAAGCTGGGGTGAAGGGGGTGTGTCAGAGAAAGAAAAAAAAAAAAAAAAACTATAGGGAAAGGTTTAAAAACATTTCTGTGGATTGGCTTCCTAACCTCTTAGACAACAACCTCGAGGGCTCTTAGGAAGAGTAGTAGGTTTCCAAGGACCCGCTATTTTCATCCTCCCTTCACCCTCGGAAGGTAAGACTCATGAGAAACCGCAAAGTTCGGCATTCTTGTGTTCAGCAAAGGTCATATTACTTGCAACAACATTATTTAGTCTTGAGACATTTGGTAGAGGTGTTGGGGAGGGTGAGACCGCGGCAGCGTGTCACAGGAGGTGCGCCCTCACCCCAACCCGCAGACTGGCAGTGGGCACGCGGACATTGGAGTTTCCCGAGGGGAGGAACAGATCGCGCCCGCCTGGGCAGCTCGGAGCCCCGCCGGTGCCTTCTACCCCGCCTGGAGGAGGCGTAGGCTCAGGGAACCGCGGACCGAGAGGGCGGCGACCAGGCACTCTGCGGCCACTGCGGCCGCGCGGCCGCGGCTCGTGTGGCTCCGGTGACCGCCGGGTGGTGGCTCCGTAGTGCCCGCCC